GGTACAGATTTTACTCTAACTGGTTTTTCAGATGCGGATTTTGCAGGTTGCAAAATAGACAGAAAAAGCACTTCCGGGACATGCCAGTTCTTGGGAGGAAGGCTTGTTTCTTGGTTCAGCAAAAAGCAAAATTCCATCGCAACTAGTACCGCCGAGGCTGAATATATTGCTGCAGGAAGCTGTTGTGCTCAAATTTTGTGGATGAAGCAACAATTGAAGGATTATGGAGTGAATTGCGACGATGTTAGCATATTTTGTGACAATACAAGTGCAATCGCTATCACTCACAATCCGGTGCTTCACTCAAGAACCAAACATATCGACATATGACATCATTTCATAAGGGATCATGTTGAAAATAAAGATCTAAAAATCGAGTATATCCCTACGGAGAACCAAGTTGCAGATATTCTCACGAAGCCTTTATGCGAAACGAGATTTTCTACTTTAAGGCATGAATTGGGAATGTTGGAAATGAGCTAAGTATCACTAAATTTAATTTCTTGATCTAATATGATACATATGCTCATATTATGTGTTCTACGTGTTTATATGCTACTATGTGTTTTACGTGTTTATATGCTTTTATATGTTTTACGTGTTTGCAAATTTCTATGTGCTTAATTTCTACATAAACTAATTTGCTAAATGTGCTAAGTTTTTAATTATGAATTTGCATGTAGTGATTAACGTGATTTTATATACCATGCAAATTAATTTGACAAAATGTGCAATTTTTTTTAAATCTAATCTGTTTTTTGAATTGCATGTTTTGAGCGTTACTTGGACCGCAAGTTATGTTCATGTTTGTGTTAATTTGTTTGCATGAACAATCTATTTGCGAAATATGATTTATATTTATGTGCTAATTTTTATTAGAATAATTTTTACTAGTTTCTAAATAATTTGCTTATGTGTTTAAGAAATTTGTTTACATATATGTTTTAGTATCACCCATATGCATGTATGTATTTTCTTGGTAATTTAATTGAAATTTGGTTAGTTACCAAAATTTGTGCTTATTTTAATTGAGAGTTACCTTGTATATGCATGATTATATATGGATGAAATTTAATTGCTTTAATTTTAAAAAAAAAATTCCATGTATGTTTCGGAAATTGCATGTGTGATTTACGGATATGTGTGTGATTTATGTGATCATAATTATGTGTTTAATCTGATGTGTACGTGTTTTTGAGAAGAAAAATGAAGAGATCAGATTGGATTGAAACCTCCTCCATCTAAACCTCTACCCATAAAACCCAATCCCATTAAAACTCTCCATCTCTCAAAAACCCACATCCCTTAAACTTCTACCCATAATTAATCCCACAAAAATCCGACCCTCTCTCTCACAAAATCAGATTCCCTTTCTCGTAAAATCTCCTCCCAAATTCATACTCTCTCTCAAATCTTCAAGAATAACCAGAGGTGTCCATTCATAATCTTCTTACTCTATACACCTTACGTATATAGGGTACCTAAGAGACTGAAGCATTTAATGCTCCTGTCTGATAATGATAACCCTTTTCTCTTTCCTAGTAACACCTTAACCAAAAGACACCTCCACCCCTAAATGTGCCTTGTCACCACACCTATTCTAAGGGTCTCAATTGAGATTTTTATCTGAGCATTATACCTCTTCTTAAATCCTTTTTAAACCATACGAAACCCTTCGTATTCCTCTCAGACGAAAATTCCAGTTCTACCAAGATCAGAAATCTCTCTCTCTCAAGCTCTCAATCTCACCGGTGAACACCATGTCTGGAATCAAAGCCATGCAACCCAAAAATCTGCTTATTCTACAACAACAATTGATCAATGGGAGGACACTCAGTCCGGAGTTCTTCATGATTGGAGCAGTCAACAAGGAAATAGCAAAGAAGATTCTCAATGCTTTGAAGGATTGTGGACTATATGATTTCTTCACCTACAAATATGCTGGAGCTTTTGAAATAGATGTGACCGAGTTCTATCTTCATGCTACTGTGAAGGACAATGTGATTCATTCTAAGGTTGGAAGAACAGATGTTCAAATTTCTGAAAAGGACATCAAGGATTACTTCAAATTCCCTGATTCAGAGTTGATGCCAGAAGCTCACCACTATGATGTTCAATCTTTCTGGGATGAAATTCGTGGTCCAAAAGCACCTGTAGCTCATGGCTTTACCGAACCAAAGAACGTGTTGAAACCGGAGTATGATATGCTTATTGAGATGATGTACAAAATCCTTGACAACAAGCTTGGAAGTGTGGACGATCTATCTGGAACTTCCGTGAGTTTAATGAACGGAATCATGCAAGGAATAACGTTCAATTGGGCTAAGTACATCTTCAATCGCCTATTATTCTTTGTAAACAATGCAAAACCTCATGGAAGACCACTTGAAGGAAATCACTTTCTTCATAAAGTTGGGTACGGGCTTATTGTTGGAGAAATTCTAAGAAAGAAGAATGTGCCCGACTATGGCAAGAAATCAAACCGAAAGAAAGGATCTGAAGGAGGTGGTTCCACAAGCACACCACAAAGCTCTCGAAGAAGGAACAGTAGAACCGTATCGGCAGCGAGTGCAAATATGGGTTCTAGCAATCCAAGCAACAGAGATCAAGAAGTCGTAAGCTCGGCTCTAGCACTTATTCCATCTCAAGAAGTGGCAGAATCTGAAGCTCATGAAGTTGACATACCCGTGATGCCAGCTGAAGAAGATACCACCCAAATGGAGTTTGCAGGAGTTGAAGTGCAAGTTTCAAATGACTTGCAAAGGAGAATCTCGAGTCGATCAACAGTTGAAACTAATGTTGAACCCATTGTGTTTGACACAACACAAACCCGAGATGATCCAGAACTGATGAAGGAATTAAACCGAGTTCAAGCATGGAAGGACGTGGTGAAACAACGTAGAGTTGCGGTTTAAGATTACTGAGTACCGCTGCGTATGGGTCATTGGTTAGTCACCTTTTTTGACCCGGTTAAGAAGATAATCAACCTGGGGGACGGTCAGTACATTCCTGTCACCAAGGAGGATGTTGCCGCCAACTTTGGCTTGCCAAGTGACCAATACCGATTGCTGAACAGGATAGCCAGGTGGTTAGCCCAGAGTTACGGGACTAGAGGGACGTGGTGAAACAACGTAGAGGAAGGATTACAGTTAGGGGGTTATATGCGCTGTTGGAGGAATTGAGTGATGGTGGCCGGTGGTTCAAAATCCATTTCAGTGTTGTAGTGATGACCACCCTGGTTGCGAGCACACTGAATGGCTATGCAAACCAGAAAACTATCCACATGTTAAGTAGTGTGGACACGATCAAGGACCTTGACTGGTGTGGGTATTTGATTCGCTCGTTGGTTACTACCCATCGGAGTTGGACCGAGGGTTCGAATCGCAAATTCACTGGCCCACTTCTGTTCCTAACTGTAAGTGGTTTTGGTTTTGGTTCTGTAGGGGGTTTGTTGTTTTATCTTGGCTAACAATGGCGTGTTTGTGTGTGTTCAGCTTTTGTATTTGGATAGGGTTGTGGTGGGTGTGCGAGAGGTCCCTAGGACGATCCCACCCGTGGGGGGGTGGACCACGGATCTCATCAAAGCACGTGAGCTGATTGAGCTTGATTCTGGGGAATTTGGTAGGGGTTTGGTGGATGGTCCTCCTTGTGCGTCAAATCCTGGTGCACCGCAACTCGGAGCCGGGGTGGGACCACGCCATGGACAGGCTTGTGCCGAGAACATGGTATGATTTTGGATGTAGCCGTTTTTTTCCAATCATTATATAATTTGCATGTTAACATCCGTTGTGTGTGTGGTGGTGGGGGTGGGGGGTTGCAGGGGTTTGGCCAAGAGTTTGTACTTTGTAGTAATCACCGCTGAGTTGCAATCGCTCACCACACGGGTTGTTGACTTAGTTTCCAAGCACCCCAACGAAGTGCAAGAAGATTGTAATTTCCAAATAGTGGTGGATTCAATCAAACAGTGGGAGGTTATTGTAAAGACACCAGCCAAGGCAATTGATGCAGCTCCTAAACCGCCCGCCCTGTCGCCGGGTCGCGGTGAAGGGCCTTTGTTGTATGATGCAGACTTTTTAAGGGAGCTTGACCAGGCTGAGATGGCTGCTACTGGGGTTTATGGTGTGTTTGATGTGCCAAGTTTTAGCTTAGGGTTGACGCAAGAGTTTGCAGCGCATAACCGGATAAAGAACATGGTTCAAGAGCCAGTCACTGTTGCACCACTTCCTCAGGTATGCTAATGCATATGATTCTGCTAGTGTCATTTTCAGATGTTTATTTGGGCCAACATTTGCAGGAACTAGTCACCGCACGTGTTGCATCACATCACGCTGCACCGTGCACAGCTCCAGTTGACGGGCCAAAGGGCAAAGAGAACGTTGTACCGTGCACAGCTCCAGTTGGCGTGTCAAAGGACATAGAGAACGATGCACCATGCACAGCTCCAGTTAATGGGCCAAAGGGAAAAGAGAAGGAGCCAGTTCTTTAACATGCCCAGCCGCAGGGGATTTACTTCAGCTCCATGTTTGGTTACCCGACTACTCTACTGCCGCACATGTATGTTCTGTGGATGTGGGTTTTTAGTTGCCCCCAGGGAGGACGGTAAGTGGCTTTTATTGTGACTGAGCTCGGTTGTTCGTGTGCGTTCTAATTATTATTGGGAAATGTGGTTGGGGTCTATTCTGAAAATGTTTGGTTTATCGTTGTTAACCTGTAGCGATGAGGTGTTACTCTAGTATGCTGAGCGGGTGGTAAAGTGGGCACAAATCCAAACGCTGAGGGAGGGGTCGAATGTGTCCAAGGCTGTTGTTGATGCCTGGTGCTATGTCCTGAATGCCCGGGAAGAGCTGAGCACAGCTGGTGGCGTGACGCGATTGTTTCTTCCCACTAGCACAACGGTACGCTTTTGTGTGCACTCTAGCAGAATACTCTATATACCATGTTTTCTGGTGCAAGCCCCTTCTAACTATTAATTGGTATATGCAGATTGGGATAGTTGTTGGAACATCTGTCAGTGATGACGCGAGGATCAGTTGGTTCGCGAACCGCATGGATGCCGAGTTGCAGAGAATGGGCCGTAGGGGTACTGCCGACATAGATATGGTGATGTACCCTTAACTATTATGACATTGCACTAACATCTACCCTCCATAGACTAATACTCTTTTTTTGGATGCCAATGCAGTTTATTTTCCCAATTTTCACCAAGAGCACTTATTACATGATGGCTATCAGCTGCAAGCAGCCCCGTTTTGACATCATTGATAGTTCGTCTGTGAAGAAGACTAACAAATAAATGTATGGTGGGGCTCCAGAGGAGCTGGTATGTGTCCTTAACTCCATATGTGCTACTTTCGTTCTTGTTGCGGTGGTTAATTTAGAATAGGTTTCGGTTGGTGTTAAGAATAACCGATTTGTGTTGCCTTTTCCACCATAGTATTCGCAATTGCTTTCACATCTCTTTTGCACCAGAAAAGAAGTTCGATACCAGAAATGGTGGGGGGTTTGGCTTGTGGATGCAATTAAAGCAACGCCATACTGTTTATTAATTATTTCTTCCTTAGTTCCGTATGGGCTGTTTTTGTACCACATTAGCGAGTGGTCTACAGTTTTTTTTGTTTTTCTTTTTTTGGGCTGTTAGTAGTACCCAATTTGTGTTGCTTTTTCCACCGTAGTATTCCCTGTTGTGTGTGCATCACTTCATCATAATTAAGAACAGGTAATACATGGCTGAATTGGATTTAGGGACTTAACACTTCATTCATTAGCAAAATCCTATATGTTAGGAAGAAACAGACTATGCATGACCTGCCAATATTAGTTATGTGTCTAATTATGGTGTCCTATACTCGTTTTTATTCTCGTTGCATTAGGAAATTTTCACCAGTTTTTTTATTCCTTTTTAGGATGATCTGCAGTTTTTTGATTCCCTTTTAAGTGGATCTTTGCCAGCGTAGAATTAACTGCTACTTTAACATATCTTATGCATCATATCTTATAAATAGTCATGCGTTTTAGGCGTGTGCCTAATAATGTATTAAAAAAATGGTTTATGCAGTTCTTATCTTAAATTGTTATTATTATTAATAGTAGTGAGGTTGGTACAGGTGATGTGCCTGAGTGCTTACATATTAGAAAAATGATTACAGCCCTTCTTATCCTAAGTTGGTAACAGTAGTGTTAATAATGATTTTCGTGCAGATGATGTGCCTGAGTGCTTACTTGGACTCCAAGCGGCAAGGGCTTCGTGCTGCACGCATACAAATGTTGAAACCGAAGAGGATGTAGATGGCGTGGAGAGATACCACCTCAACGTCGGATTCTGGGGTGTTCACGATGCGCCATATGGAGGCATACGCGGGGCAGGGGTGTGCGAGTTGGGATACTGGTCTGCAGTGGGGGAATGCCATGCAGATGCTCAACCTACGCAAGCGCTACATGCATAATATCCTGCTTAGCGTGGTAAACACCCATACAACCAGTATTGCTGCGCGTGTGTCAGCTTTTGAAAGTAAAAGATTGGCACAAATGCATCGGTGATTAGGATGGGGTGCTAACATGGAAGTAGATTTGATAATGATTACACCTTCAATCTGGGGTTTTGTTTTTTGGTTTCAGGAGTTATGGTCTAGCTCAAGTGGCCTGCTTTAATTTTTTGTGTAAATTATCTTAGGTGGTGATGGTCATTTATTAGTTAGACTTTTTTAATGTTTGGGCAGTGCAACACGGTTTTTAATTTTGTTAGTCGTTTTGATCTATTTTCGGTGTTAATTAATTATATTTGGGGGATCCCAATATTCTATTTGCATACAGTTGCAAACATTGCAAACCATAAGGATATCTCAAATAAAATAAAAAATAAAAAGAGGTAGGACAAAAATCACGGCAACTACTAGAAATATGTATAAAGTAAATCATATTCTTGTGTAATATAATATGCCATAATAAACCACATAAACCAGAATCGGTGAATTAGGGTAGGAGACACTATGCATGCCTGTGTATATACAAACGCACACTGTGCAGTGGGGTTTATGTTTTATAACATGTGTTATGCTAAGCTGTCTATCACAAGTCCATTTTGGATATTAAAAAGTGGGTTTGATATGCATTGGATATTAAAAAGTGGGTTTGATATGCATTGGAAAATTCCTACAAAAAACAATGCAAAGGGGAGAAAATTAGGTAGTAGTGTATGCGTTGGGCACTCCAGCGTGTGTGTATAAACAGTGCAAAAATGGTACCAACAGTAATAGGGGATTAAAAAACTAATGTTATTGGAATGCACTAAATGAATTACAAACTGACTATATAATCCGGAGTACAGGCCAACGAATCGTACTGAATAAAAAAGGGAATAAAACAAACCAATTTAAATAGGCTACAGAATTCTTAGCAAGTTACTTTGACGGGCAACTACGGGCGTTATGGCGGGCATATTTACCACAAATCCCGCACTTTCGTCCGATTTTGGCATTTTTCTCGATGGCTATCTCCCTGTGGCTTTTTATACGCTTTCCAGTGCCTTTGTTCTTGGCTTGGGCGGGGGGCTTGATTGTTATTGGTTCTGGCGGCTCAACACCGCATAATGCCTGTATCGCAGCATGGTTACCCTTAACAGGGTTCGTAGATAGTCCGTGACTACTGAATTCTGCGGTAAGGTTCTTTAGTATTGAGACCATCCGCGTTTGCCGCTCTAGGCTGTTGCCTACCAGTCCAACGCACGTGTTTATCTCAGCCCATAGTTGTGTTGCTACAAGGTTGGCCTATCACCATTTGACAGTAGTCCTTTGAATGCACCGCAAGTAAGATGTTTGCACCATCGGCTCACAATGTATTCGGACGGTAACTATTCCATCTGTGCACTCCGGAAAACCACAAACATATGCCGACAGACCAAGCCCATTCTTCGGAATAAGTTGCAGTTGCATGATGCTCCAAGACCACCCACCTTGTAGTGCACGGTCGCAATAATGTTGCCCTCATTTGCAATGTCGTAATGGGTGCTATCCCCGTCTTGGCATACACCGATCACAGAACAATAAAAATAAGCTGCTTCTATTTCTTTCTGTAGCTCATAAAAAATAGTGATCGTGAATTCTCGTGCAATATTACGCTCGAGTGCTAATGGCGTTTTAAATTCAGGCAGGTAACCCTCGCACTCTGCGTTTAATTTATCTTGTCGATAGCGCTGCGTTCCCAGCGCGCTCTCGAATTACATGTAGAACTCTACCAAACTGGAATGGGGGCGTGTGAATTTACCGTATACACCGTTTTCTGCTTCTGACCGCGATGTGGTTCTTAACAGCCCCACTCATGGGCAAATCAGAAAAGTAAGCCGGGATCCAATTCTCCCTTTCACCAAATATTTTGCAAAACCACCGATGGTTTGTTAGCTTGTACTCATCCACTAATAGGTGCCATTGTGCCTCAAACTCATCACTGCAGATTCTTTCATTCCATACGATAGCGTTTAGTTTTTTGCGAAACTCATTGTCCTTAGCTAACTCATTGCCTAGCTTTTCATTAACCTTTTGTCATAATGTGCCACATACAGTAGCGATGGCAGCAATTTGGCAATACTTGTTGGATAGCAATTCGCATAGCTAGGTGTTGGTCCGTCACAACACATAATGGGCTCTTGCCCATTGCAGCTATAAATTTCTCCAACAGCCAGCTGTATGAGTCAACATCTTCCATAGTGAGCAAACCGCCCCCAAAAGTGATGCATCGTTTGTGATTGTCCACACCAGTAAATGGCACAAACACCATACTGTACCTGCGAAATAAGAAGGCATGCATTAGTTCCAAAATTACTCGTGTACGTTCAATACAAAATAATTAGGCATCAAAGGGCTTTTTAGTATGAAGTTAGTCGAGGGCCTACCAGAATATCAAAATCAGAAGAGAAGCAATAAAAAACAACAAAAATGCAAAGGTATGAAAAGATACAAGATAAATAAAAATTAAAACAACAAAAAAAAAACATCTGAAAAGAAAAGGAACTGTACAACAAAGATGGTTACCAAAATTACAACTCCAAGATGCATCATGGTCATAGGGAAAACTCTCACACTATACAAATGCAATAGTACCCACTTCGACGGTGAAAAATGTGATGATCAAAGGGCATTTGGGTGGGCGTAACATGCACATACAACTACCAGTACACACACTTTGCAGGGGTTCAATCTAAACATCTGCAATAATCAAAGTGCAATCCCATACCTGTTTGTTCCGTAGGTGGCATCGAAGGAAATATTATCACCGTAGCAAGAAAATGTCCGCCTACTGAGGGGGTCAGCCCAGAATAGACGCGATAGCCGGTTTTCCTCATTCATATGGTATTCAAAAAAAAAAATCGCTGCACATTTCTTGCTTGGCTTTGAAGGTGGCCATAATCATCTCCACATCAGCTACATCAACGTATGTTTGGACATCTCGTTTAAAATTGTGGAATTCCACGTCCGTTGCGCCGACATTTGCATACGATCCGATGGCTTCCTTGCAAAATCGCAGCCCCGTTGAAGCACCAATGTTGGCCTTAACACAATTACCTAAAAAAGCCTGGTGGACCACATTGAGACGTCGGTTAATTCGCATAAAAACTTTAGACGAATCTGAGCACAATTTGTGGGTGTGTTCCTCGACAAAAATGGTAACAATGAACTCCCCAGAGCCTGTTTTTTTAAAGTCGATCCTTGCTCTGCAATTAACTCTATTAGAAAGCCGTCGGCGGCGCTCCCGTTTATCTCCAGCATTCACACCCCGATCATGGTCGCGGGGTATCCTACCACCGGCCCTGAACCCTTGCCGGCTGCACACCAAATATCGCAAGTACACTTCTCCGTCTCGGTCGTGCTTCACGGAGCTACAGCGAACGTCAAACCCGATGGTTCGAGCGTAGTTGGTGTAGCATTGGATACCCTCGTTTAGTGTTCTAAATACACGCCCCACTGCCGGTAGCTCTAAAGCATCCATGGCGGGAAAAAGGGTGTTCGTCGGTTGGCGGAAACTCCATTGCGCAGCCACCCTCATCCGTTTCGCATGCCATCAACCTTCGTCGATGCGTCGCAGATTCGTTACGGATCAAACTCGACAAGCGTAAGCAAGCCAAGGAATAAGTGTTGGATGCACGCTAGAATCCTTTTCAAATAAGATGGGAAGGAAGTTACGTGATGGACGTTAGAATTCTATTCAAATAAGATGCACACTTGAAGTAATATAATGCTGGCGGGGGATCCCATGGTACAAAGTGCATGCTTCTGTTGTGAGGAGCAAATCTTTAGCCATCCGATCCAATACATCGACGCACCTGATTGTTCCGCAAGTTCACACATTAATAATGGTTTGCACCTGAAAAATAGCCTCTATATATATATATATATATATATATATATATATATATATATATATATATATATATATATATATATATATATATATATATATATATATATATATATATTTATATATATATATTAACCACCCTGACAAACTAATGTGATAGTAATCTTTTATTAAGTGGTTATTTGCGGTATAATTATCTGTGTGGTCCACTTTCGATTTGGGTCGGGTCAAAGTGGATTCGGGTTCTTCGTAGTGAGACGAAGAGATTGATATATTGTACGCTCAAAACGGATAATGCGTGAATGAGATATTGATTCTCAAAGTAAACCCATTTGAGTTGGAAAAGTGAAGGGAAAAAGCTTGGGAGTAGCTTTTGCCCGACATTGGTTTGGGAAGTGGATTTGCACCACTATTTATACAAGAGCTCTTTTAAAGTTTATTGAATTGTATAGCATAGAGGCTCTCTTGCGCGTGCAGAGAGGAAGTGCAAATCAAATCCCAAAATGAGAGTGGAAAGACTTGATTCAGGCTTGAACTCGTGTACGCCGGGGCCAAACCTGAAGCTCTCGTGTGCCTACAGCAAGAGCTAAAGTGACTGTTGTTGGATTAAATTCATCCGTTACGGAATTGAATTTCTATTAATTCTGAATTTAATTTTTAGATAGTGGCATGGTGTTTTAGCTGTTGCAAAGCTGGGTTTTATATCAGTTTTAAATGTCATAATGAAGGCTATTCACTCCTCAATCCCTATATAAGGAGTAGAGCAGCAGTATTTTAACACAAGAAATACATGCACATATTCTACTATGTTTTCAACTCCAAAGCACTCTGCTTCCACTCCTTTCTTGCTACTGTGTTCTAAGCCTGTTCGCCGGGTTCAAAGTTTGGGTGTTCAAACGTTGAACCGTAGCACGGTATATCCTAGGAAACCTAGGCTACAACACTCCTAGCACTTGTGGGAGGTAGCAAATAAGGTTTTAAGGAAAGAGTGATTCACTCGAATTGTGCTAACAACCTACACCAAACCCGAGTCATATCTCTTCACCCTTTCCTTCCCAATTTTTTTTTCCATAAAATAATAATCTTTTCGTAGAATTATTATTTGGGTTTTAGCAATGACATATCCAACAATGATATGTTTTTTTCTTGGATACAAATTTTACTATCCAACTATAGCAATGCACATTACAAACTGAAATTCAACAAAATAAATAAATAAATATATATATATATATATATATATATATATATATATATATATATATATATATATATATATATATATTAACCACCCTGAAAAATTAATGTGATAGTAATATTTTGTGTTCTCTCGTATCTTGAAAGCGTTGTAAGACCATCTCATTTGATACACTATCAAAAATATTTATCTTCAAAACATGAAGACAATACTTAAGTAAACTTTTAACAAATTAAATCACGACTCTGGTTGCTTAATGAATTCTTGAGAGTAAAGAATTCTGGATAATCTTCATAGTAGAATATCACTCGGAGTTTCGTGGTGCAAATCTAATAGAATAATTAAATATATTCTTCTTTAAGAAGTTATATTGAGATGTCTTTTGGTGTTCTTTAAGACTCGACAGAAGATATTATAAAAATGTCAAGATGTTCATTAATGTACTAAAATAGAATAATATGTTAAATTAATGTTTTCAATTTGCATTGCACAACTATATTAGAATAAACACAATTGGTAACCCAACTTTTAGAATCGTCGATGAATATCTTGATTTCATACCTCATAATGTTTAATTTTTCAAGATGTCAAACTAGTTTAGCATAAGGTGATGAGGAAGTGAGAATTTGAGAGATAGCAACTATTTGCAACAACATTACTTCAAGTTTGATGGCATATAGATGTTGGTCTTAGAATATTATGAACTTAAGAAAAATAATAATAATGGTGTTAACTATTGTGGTGTAACTCAATACCATTAGTTGTTAGTAATGACTCTATTACAAGTTAGTATCTTTTCGATATATATTCTTTCTCCATCTGTGACCTTTCCTCAAGGAGAAGCACGGAGGTGCCAACTGAGCACGGAGATATTTTGTTGTTATAATTACTCCATATTATTTAGTCACTTTCTAAAGAATATATATATATATATATATATATATATATATATATATATATATATATATATATATATATATATATATATATATATATATATATATGAATGTTTGTATTTTCTACATAATTAAAATTATTATAAGATTATTACCAATAACAAATAATATTAAAATATACAACTCTTCTTATATTTCTTTTTACATACTAATAGCTATCAAAAAGCAACTAATTTTACCAAATAACCCCACAATTAGCTAATACAACATGTTAACCACTAACAACTAATTACAAAATATAAAAGTTGTTTTTTTTTATTTTAACTTCTGTATTTTAAAAACATGTTATCATCTTTTTAAGATAGCATTGTTGGTGACCTAAATACGATAAGAACTGAAAGTCCTAAATACGATAAGAACTGAAAGTCTGGATTGAATTAATGACAAAGAACAATACAGAATATAAATACAAGTACAAGAATAGAAACCTAGTCTAACACAATAACAGAGTCCTAACACTCCCCCTCAAGCACAAGGTTGATAGTTTACAACATTGAGCTTGTTTCGTAAAAATATAAACTGTTTGCTTGGAAGTGACTTGGTAAAAAGATCCACAAGTTGATCTTTTGTTGAGATGAAATTGACTTGGATCTCACCCTTAGCAACTTTATCACGAACAAAGTGATAATCAAGTTCAACGTGCTTTGTACAAGCATGAAAAACAATATTCGCACATAGATATGTAGCACAAGACACACCAAGCTCCTTCAATAGAGAAACCAGTCACGTAACTTCTGCTGACACATCTGCTAAGGCTTTGTACTCATCTTCTGTAGAGGAACGAGCCACAGTACGTTACTTCCTATAGACCCAGAAAACCAAGTTACAACCAACACCGCAAACTCACTCGTTGACTTCCGATCATCCAGTTACAAGCCCAGTCCGAATTAGAAAAATCATGTATAGATGCTAACAAAGACTTACGAAGATACAAACGAAAATGCATCGTACCTTTAACGTATCGAATGACACGTTTAAGCATGCTCCAGTGTGCTGTAGTGGGAGATTGCATGTGCTGACATAGCTTATTCACTGCAAAAGAGAGGTTAAGCCGAGTAACTACAAGATATTGCAATACCCTAACTAAACTACGGTATTGGGTTGGATCAACATATGGAACCACAAACTCGTCATCATTCTTCACCAACGAGGCAGGCGTTGACAATTCCTTACAATCAACCATACCAACTCGTTTTAAAATGTCACCCGTGTACCATTTTTGAGAAAGAAGCAGACCCTCACGATGTGGAACAGTTTCAATGCCAAGGAAAAAGGACAGAGCACTCATATCACGAACCTTGAATACAAACGCCATTCTTGCAATGACGCTTGACACACGAGTTGGATCTGAGCCCATCGCGAGTATATCAACTACATACGCTAAAATATAAAGCTACACACCACTGTCAGAATATATAAAAAGAGAGACATCCGTTTTAGAAGGACTAAAACCAGCAGAGATTAGAAACTCATGTCGGCGATTAAACCATGCCCAAGGCGCCTGTTTGTGACCATACAAAGAACGCTGCAACAAACAGACATGATTAGGAAAATTCTTGTCCTCATAACCCGGAGGTTGACGCATGTAAATAGTTTATGCTAAGTTACCATTCAGAAACACATTGTGAATATCAAGCTATCTAATCACCCAATCACGAGAAAGTAAGAGAAAGAAGTAACCAAATCGTAGTCGGCTTAATAACAGGACTAAAAGTTTCGAAAAAATCATGTCCAGCAACCTGATTAAAACATTTCGCCACAAGCCTAGCTTTATAACATTCAATCGACACATCTGCTTGCGCTTGGTGCGAAATTCCCACTTACAACCAATAACATTCATACCTGACTGTACCGGTACAAAGCGCCAAGTATTATCCTAAAGAAGCGCATTGAGCTCAAGATCCATTGCCTCACGCCATTGTGGATATAGAACACCTTGTGAGTAACAAGTTGGTTCCGTAGGACAAACCTGAGACACAAAAGCAGCCAGGTCTGTACGAGACCGGATCATACTACGAAGAGTGATATGATGTGTACGAGCTGACTGGTGTGCGGAGGTACTAGGCTGCCGCTGGAGCAACAACACCACCCGCTGAATGTTCGGAAATAGTGGGCACGAATTGGGCAGCAAGCTCGGACTAAATAGCCGGCACGATCTGAGTAGTATGCATAACCTGGGCATTGGGCACGGCAGTAGCTACAGGTGACGGACGCAAGTGAGGAGTGCAACAGTAGTCAAACGAATAATACCCCATACAATATTAGAGCCAGCAGACTGTTCCTGTGCAATTTTAGGAGATTGAAAAGGATAAACAAACTCATCAAATTTCACATGCCTACAAATGAATACCTTATTAGTGTTTAGATCCATGCAACGATAACCACGAAATGAGTCAAGATAGCCTAGAAAAACACAAGGTGCAGACCGAAACTCTAACTTATTATGATTATAAGGATGAAGTAGAGGGAAACATAAGCAACCAAAGACTCGTAGAAATGAGTAGGACGGATGAGAACGATGAAGCAAATAATGAGGACTAAAATTTCCCAGAACTGAAGTGGGCATTTTGTTGATAAGAGAGACTGCAATCTCAAACGCATAGTCCCAAAAATGAGTAGGAACTGATGCTTGAGCCATTAAGGCAAGTCCTGTCTCAACAACATGACGATGTTTTCGTTAAACGCGGCCATTCTGTTCATGAGTATAGGCACAGGATTGACGATGTACAATACCAAGTTTAGAGAGAGTTGAATGTAACTATTTATATTCTCCCCCGAATCAGACAGAATAAGCTTAATTTTGCATGAGAAAGATCATTCTACCATGACATGAAAACATGCCAAAATATCATACAAATCACTTTTGGCACGCATAGGAAAGAACTAAGTAAACAAGTGTAATCATCAACAAACAAAACAAAATAACGATAGTGATTGGATGAAGTAATAGGTGCATGGCCCCAAATATCAGTATATATTAAGTCTAAAACATGAAAACTAGAAGACACGACACGTTGTAGAGGAAACTGTGAGGATTTCTCAAGTTGACAAGACGAACTAATACTAGCACTAGAGGAATCAACAAAATAGGACTGTAAAATTCAACTCAAAACACAATGATGCGGATGTCCTAGACGATCATGTCAAACTAAAGGTGAAGCGCGAGCAGCAACATACGCAATAGAATGGAGGATGTAACATAGGTCATGTCTAAAAACCGCCTAAAGTACGACCTTTAAATAACACCGTTTTGGTTATAAGATCCTTCACAAGAAAAAAGTGAGGGTGAAACTCAAAAAAGACATTGTTATCACTAGTAAATCGCTGAACAGATAATAATGATGCAGAAAGACCATGAACATGTAAAATATCAGACAATTATATTTCAAAGAACAAGACTCAGTGGAAAATGAAGCATGACCAACACCAATAATAGACAAACCTGAACAGTTTCCAACCCGGAGGTGTCAAAACGATTATAACCGGTCAAAGAGGCCATCACAGAGGCATCAGGTGTAGCATGATTCGTAGCCTCAGTGTTAGGAAACCAATTATGCGGGCCTATAGAACCAACATCATCCGCAGAATAGACCATATGAGCCTGAGGTCCGGGAGCCTGATCATACCGTTGAAAACAAGTCGCAGCTATGTGTCCTTGAGTATGACAGATTTGACACCGCAGAATATAGGGCCGAGAACGCTGCCCTTGTCCTCGACCTCCACATTATCCTTGACCACGTGAACCGCCACCACGGTTCTGCGACAAGAAGTGCCACCCGCCAGAGCTGCCACCACTATGCACAACCATCGTCGTTGGAGCAATCGAACTGCCACCAATGCCTAGGACCACATCTTCTATACATATGAACTCCTGTGCAATTAAAAAATCAAAGAGCTCATTGAGAGTCACCGGCTCTCCCTTTGTTAACGTCGCCACCAATGGCCGAAACTCTGTACATAGGCCTCGAAACACATATAAATTTTGATCATCCAAGGAGATTAGATGGTCGGCCAACGCAAGATCCTCCACTAAAACCTGGGCTCGACCAGGGTAATCTGACACAGAGTCCTCTCCTTGTCGCAACGCTTGAAGCTGGCCAAGAAGACAAAGGGCACGGGCACGGGTTGTAGATCCGATACTGTTTTCAATGGATAACCAAACTTGTATGGATGTCGTCTTCCCAACAGCAAGATGCATGACCTCATCAGATAAGGAGGAAATTAGCATGGAAAGGATCGCTTGATCCTATTGAACCCACGCAGCACAAGAAACGGTCAACGGCGATGCAACCAAAACCGAGGTTGTAGTGTTGTCGGGCTATGGCAGTGTTGTTACTGGACATGGGATTGAACAATCGACAAAACCTAATAAATTTTTTCCACGCAAGAAAGGGACCAACTAAGTTCGACAGAACAGATAATTCCGGGTAGTATGTTTGATAGAAACAAAGTGATGAGCAGTGGATAACGAATTTTTAGCCACCGTTGGGACAGAGACAACGGTCTCGGAAACAGTCCGTTCAGAAGAAACTCCAACAGAGCTGACTTGCAAATCCGAAGACCCAGTTGCCAATGAGAAACCTAAAACTACTGATTCCAGATGAGAACTTAAAGTCTGGATTGAATTAATGATAGAGAACAATACAGAATATAAATACAAGTACAAGAATAGAATCCTAGTCTAACATAATAACAGAGTCCTAACAATTACCACAATATAATTTATTTTATGAATAAGGATCAAATTGGTCATCTAATACAACATGAAAATGCAATTTCATCATTCAACTAAAAAAAAATTGTAAAATGTTATAAATATTATTATTATTATGGCCATTATCACAAGACCTTTCATTTGCCTTATATTTATTCCATTATTTATGTTATAGAAAATGAAGGGTTATATGGATGTATATATATACATGTTCAAGGCATAATGAAAGAGTGAACTTGTGTTCTTGAGTTCTACATTCTTGTGTTATATTTTTCTCTCTACTCTTCCATTCCATATTGCAATATTCTTCATACATACAATCAATGCGTTACCGTACAACTATCACGCGAGAACTAACAAGTTGATAGGCCGAATTACAACACGTTATCAGCACGAATCGCCAACATATTCCTCGGTGAACGGTATGCTCGGACATGTTATAATACATGTTTTTATACTAGGCAAGCATGTTCATAGGTTTCATATAATACATGTTTTTATATGGCACATGTTGATTCTACACCTCTTGATATGATTATGAAATACATGATTGATACGATACATATTGATTCTAAAATTTGAAATATGAATTGCACATACCGGTTCGTATATATATGATTGTGTAAATTCCTGAATATATATTTCCAATTTTATTTTTGATTCTTAAAATTGAAAGAAAAGCATGTGATATATATGTTTGTGTAAATAGATGGGGCTTTTCGTACGAAGATGCAATGTATGTATACATATTATTTTCATTTCGCATACTTTGTATGTTATATACCCTATGATGTAGTGCATTATTATGTTTTTATGATATGTCGTTTGCATGTGATTAGCAATTAGTTTTTGTGCCTGATTAGGCAATGAATGAATGGTTTTTAATTAAGATTGTTAAAGTTTATTTCGTGGAAGCTTAAGAGTGAGTAAGACTTTAAAGCTTAATTGATGACTTGGGAGCATCAATTCGGTGTATTGGAGAATGAAACACCACTCGTTGCCTGTAGCGCGAGTTGATGCTATAAACACGAGTCGATGCTTGCTGCATCAATTCGGTGTTTTCGTACCGATTCGTGCCTTGTTGCTTGTAGCACGAGTTGATGGTATAAACACGAGTCGATGCTTGTTGCATCAATTTGGTGTTTGCCTCACCAATTCGTGTTGCACCATTTCGGTTTTTGTGTATATTCGAAAGATCAATTTGTTTTCTGATTTTATCTTTTGACTTCATCTCGAAAAGTTCATTTTGCATCTAGAAGATGTTAGATTCCTTATTTTGCTATAAACATGTGATATTATAAATGTATATGAGAACATATGATATATGTTTTGTAGATTACGTATTCAATTGTCAAATGTGATTTTATTGAGCTCGCTCATGTCGATAGCAATTATTTCATTTGGGCTTTGGATATTGAAATATATTTGGCATCTAAGAAATCGAGCCAAAATTTTGTTGCTAAGTCACAGAGAACCGATGCCCAGAAGGCACAAGCTCTCATTGTCATATGTCACTACTTGAACCACGATATTAAAAATGAGTATTTGATTGAAAAAGTCTCTATTGCATTATGTAAGTCCCTGAAGGACCATTTTGACTAGTAGTCATCTATTGTCGTTCCTCAGACACAATTTGACTAGATTAATCTTAAGTTTTAAGATTATAAGTCAGTAACTGACTATAATTCAGCTCTGCACAAAATAGTCTCAGAAGTGAAACTCTAAACAAGAAGTTTTAGATAAATATTTAATTGAAAAGACATTGCCAACTTTTCGTGTGAGTAATTTGTACTCCAGCAGTAGTACAAGACAACAAATTATGAGAAGCATCCTAAGCTGATTTTAACACTTCTTGTGGCTAAGAAACATAACTAGTTATTGATGAAGAATCAAAATGCATGTCTGGTTGATTTTGCACAGGTGCCTGAAGCACATAATGTTACCTAGTTGAGTAACTTTATAAGGGGTTGCAGTCGAGATTATAACCGGTGTGGTATGAGTTTCGAGCTCAGAATAAGAAACAAAGTGATCAAGATATTCAAGGACGACCAAAACTCATCGAGGCAAAATTCTAGCCAGAAGCAGGTTTGATATCAATGTGGGTGTGAAGGGCATTGATCCCTACGTGCCGCGCACCAAAGCATTTGGTCATTGGAGAATGAACCTCATCTTGATGATTCTAGCTAATTTGCCTGAAGCAAATATTGCGATAAATGCTGATAATGAAATGACGAG